GCATCACCGCACCCTCTAATTCCATCTCATTTAATTGTTGGCCAACCCCAAGCCAGACCCCCCACTCCCGCCCTTTCCGAGATATCTTTCAGTATAATATGTGCCCCAAACAAGCCATGCGCGTTTTTGACGCAAGTTCCCCCCTATTTTTAGCGAGCGATTTCGAAAGGAGCGGGGGACACGGCCAATCGGATAGATAGCTTAATTGAAGGAGGTTTATCTGTGGGGGGTCTGACCCTTGCATTGTTGGCACAAGGGGAACCCCTTTAAGCCACAGTGTAACCCCCTCCAAGAGGGCTTTTTGTATGGTAAACGGTTTGACCAAAGAGTATGAATGTGTTGGGTGTTATTATAAGAATGAATGTAATCGCAGAGAGCGAAATATCTTGTGTCGAATGGAAGGAGACATGAAGACTCCTAGGGATGGAAAGAATTTGATATAGATAGGCCTATATGGCCTGAAGATATAAAATGTGTTTGCAAATCCATCTTGTTTGGCTTTTCTTAATTCATATTGTCGGGCACATCTATCTTACTGACATAATTTGCTCCAAATATGACTGTTTTTTAAATTAGTAAAACTAAGTGACTTCGTGCCGATATGAAGACTGTATTTTTTCTTTGAAATTGTTTTCAAGGTAGAATAATGTGTTTAAACGATTGTACATACTTAAGCCTCTATTAACCATTATCATTATCACCTCTTTAACGACGCTAACTGTTTCGCCCGTGCTTGTCACTGCCCATTTGGCTTAATTGGATACAGTATCCCAGGAGAAAGAGCAGAAATACATACCTTTTTGGTATGGTCCGTGTTTTTTTACGTTGATTTTTTGCTGCTGTTGTTGTTGTTGTTGCTGCTGTTGCTGCTGCTGCTGCTGCTGTTGTTGTTGCTGTAAATCATATGGTACTTACGGATACAATGTTGGTGTCTATGAAGGCGGGACACTCAATTCCCACTATAAACATCGAAATGCAAAAATGTGAGAAGTTGTAAAGGTTCAACGCCCCTTGCAACACAGTCCGGTTCATCAAGAACCAGGACCACCAAGTTTAACGTCCGTCTTCGATTGGACCAGACCAAATGGGTCGATTCGTGAAATGTGCCTTTCTCAAGAACACAACATCGAACTGATTGTTTTTGTTTTAGTAGAAGTTTTACGGCGGTTGCAGCTGCATAAGGTCATATGAGCGCCAGAAGATTAGAGGTGTTATAAGAGAGTAACAATCATAAAAAAGAAGGAGGGGAGATGAGGACGATAGATGTTTGATAGCAAAAATGAAGCAAACCACACCAGAGCACCCGCCAACCCCCCACACCGAACTGAGCAGAGCCTCGAACCCAAAACCTGCAAGCGCACGATTATGGGTACAGTAGACTAGCCACTATATTACTGATCACGGAAATGAGAGGAACTGTTCTAAAACTAAAATAACAACAAAAACAACAACATCAACACCATAAATAAAGATCTTGACATTAACAATAAGAGTGACAACAAGCTAATAATATTAACAGGCCTTAGAATATTCATGATGTCAATAAAAATGATTGATAATGCTGATGGTAATGATAATATTAATAATGAACATCAATTATAGCATTATGGCAAATACAGAAAATATAATAACAACACCACATAATGATGATAATGATAATATATTAATAATAATGATAATAATAATGATAATAATAATACTATTAATACTAAAAATAATAATAACGATAATGATAATAATATTACCAATAGTACAAATAATACTTACAACAACAACAACAACAACAATAAAAATAATAATATAATAAT